TGTTCACAGCGGCACTATTCACAATAGCCAGAAGGTAGAAACAATTTAAATGGCCATCCTTGGAACCACCGCAGAATGAAAGGTGGCAGAGCCATACAGTAGAACACAATTTGGTCATAAAAGGAATGAAGCACCAAAATACCCTACGATGTGGGTGAACTTCCAAAATAGGGCACCAAGTGAAAGAAGCCGGGGTGGAGATCCACATACCGTGCAATTCCACTCATACCACTCACACTCATTTCTGCCTCTATGCACGTACCTAGTCTAAGATACCAAGTATCCTGGTACGTGCATAGAGGTAGAAATCACATTGACAGGCTTCTCCTTGAGGTCCAAGGTGTTCCCAAGATGGGGGGGGGCCTCAACTCTGCACAAGTGGGGTCTCTGCCACACGTGCAGGAAAGAATGTCAGCACTCGGCCTGGCCGTTAGGGTAGAGAGAGATTTATTTCGGAGAACAGACACACAGTAAAGGGAGAATGCCAGCCATCTTCAGAGGGAGAGAGCAGCCCCTGGGTGAACAGCCCCTGGGTGTGGGGTGTTAATACTCATAGAGGGGCAGTTGGGGGCTGGACTAGAGGTGGAGCCAGGGTGGAGTCACACAATTTTGCACCAAGTTTTCCAGTTGCCCTCAATTATCTTTTGCAGGGAAGAGTGTGGGTCAAGGGCTAGGTCCAAGGGCTAGGGCAAGGGCACAGGCTAAGGACTTGGGCTAGCTTTCTTTGCTTTCCTGCATTTGCTTTTCTAGGTAGACCCAGTCTATCTCTTTCTGCATCAGGTGCTGGTGATAAGGAGAAATGGGAGGGTGGGAGACTGGGGACTGGCTGTGGGTATAAGTTTTTTTTTTTTTTTTGCTTGTTTGTGTGTGTGTGTGTGTTGCAGTGCTGGGGATTGAACCCAGGACCTTATGCATGCTAGGCAAGCATTCTGTTGTACAGCCACATCCCCAGTCCCTATTGGGTATATTTTTTGAGGGGAGGCATTGAAAATATTTTGATGATGGTTGGGTGACATTGTGACTATATTATAACTGAGTTGTATGCTTTAAAATGATGAATTTTGCATTATGTTTATTCTCAATTAAAAGCAAAAAAGTGATAGAAGCAGTTTTCTGGTTCATTTCTAACTCTTCAGATAAGTCTGAGTCTCACTGACTGAACTTTAAATTAATTCTGATTTTAAATTTAATTGAAAGGAAACTGTAAGTGGAAAGCACCACTGAGTCAGTCTGTCTGTCTCTCTCTCTCTTCCTCCCCCAGCTCCCTTTCTCTCTCTGGAGATTGAACCCAGGGGCACTCACCACTGAACTTCACTCCCAGCCCTTTTCATTTGGAGACAGGTTCTCCCTAAATTGCCCAAGCTGTCCTTGAACTTGCAATCCTCCTGCCTTAGCCTACTGAGTCACGGGGATTATAGGTGAACACCACCATGTGTGACTGAGTCTTAAAAATAAATGTCTCACTATTTTTTTTTCATTGTTTTGTTTAAAAATCAGTAAGGTTGGGCTGAGGTGTGGCTCATTGTTAAAGCATTTGCCTAGTATGTGAGGTCCTAGGTTCCATCTCCAGTACCAGAATGAATGAATGAATAAACAAACAAACAAATAAAATAAGAAAGGTTGCCTTGGAGACACCTAACATTTTTAATTGTAGTTTTTCTCTTGATGTTAGGAGACATTAGTCAGGTACAATGAACACTGAGATGTTAGGATGCAGTATGATAATAATCATTCTCATGTTGCTTGTGGTTCAAGATAAACTAATACAGTGTGGAAACCAAAAAAAAAAATTAATAAACCATTAGTAGATAGACAGTTACAAAGCCAAACCAGAGTTCAGTGTAGAACTCTTGGATACAGTTATCAGCCAGAGCGGTTTTCTCTGTTTACGAAGGAATCAAGCTTGTGGCCTAGCTCAGTGGTACAGTTGCCTTAGCATGTGCAAGTCCCTGGGTTCAACCCTCCATACCTCAGAATCAATCAATCAATTAAACAACTAAGTAAACAAGACTGTAATCCCAGCAATTTAGGCAGCTGAGGCAGAAGGATCACAAGTTCGAGACCAGCCTAGGTAACTTAGTGAGCTCTTATCTCAAAAAGTAAAAAGAGGGCTGGGGATGTAGCTCAGTTAGGTAGTGCACCCCTGGGGTTCCATTCCTGGAACCAGAAAAGCCAAACTAAACAAAAAAAAGAATCAGCAAATATTAGAGAGATGTGAAAGTTAAGCAGCGATGAACTGAGACTTTCTCCTCCCCTCCACACAATTAAAAGAGAATTGAAGGAGAAACAGCTTCCTCTTTGGGGGGCTCAGGGTGAGCTAAAGCTGCTGCCCTGCACTTGCCCAGTCCTGCCCTCAGTGGGGTGTCGCTGGGTCACTCTCAAGGCAGGTTCTCTGTTGGGTCACTTATTCCATGGCCCCTGCTATGCATGAGGCACAGTGTCCTGTCACTTCAACCTCATACCAGACAGGCTCCAATTCCACCCGCAGTGTACAGACTAGGAAACAGACACTGGGAGACCAGGGCTTGGCCAGTGAAATGAACTGGAAATGAACCGGCACAGGAATTTTTTTCTTTTAACATTTCGCTTCACCATTACCCACCCATTCCCCTGAGACAGGACAGAAGAAACAGGTAGAAAACAGACGTCAAGGAAGGACTAGTGGCGCCCCTGACCAGCGCGGGCAGCTGAACCAAAGTCACCTGTGTGAATTTGGGGTGACGCAAAATACCACACACAGAATACCTTTTATAAGCTTCAGGACAGCTTCCCAGTCTCCCGGCCTCAAGTTCCCCCAAATGGGGGGGGGGGGGCAAGAGAAGGTCACCAGAGGCTGATGAGAGAGAGGGAGAGCATTTGGAAGTGGGCTTTTGTTTGGAGGACACTGTTTCTTAGGACATTCTATCCGAAAAAGGCAGAAGGGGTGGGATTACAAAGGAACAGGTGAGTGTAACTCAACCCCAGGGGTGCCTGCTCTTGGAGCCACACTGGGGTAATGCCCAAGTTACTGCGGAATGCAATAATTGTTCAGGACCCCGGGGCATCAGGACCTAAAGGCGCATTCATCCAGGCTGGCTCCCCACGAAGTTCCACATGCTTCCCCAGGCCAGTCTCTCTGAGGCCTGTCCCTCCCAAATTTCTGGGAAACCCATAAATCTACCTGTGCACTGTTAATTAGCCCACCAATAAATAGGTTAAGTAAAAAAGAGATAGGACATTTTAAGAAACCTATCATTTAGGGAACTTTACAGTACTATCTACTGATCAGATAATGGAGACAAGGTCAGCCTAAAGATCCTGAGAATGACCAGGACCACCATAAACCATCTGCCGATCACCAGACTGATGTCATTCCTACGTGACAGGCATGTGCCACCATGCCCAGCTTTGTTTGGTTTTGACACGTTTCCAATAAATTGCTGACATCTGTGCACTTTAACCTAAAATACTTCAGGCCACGTATTCCTTTCCCTTTCAACATTTGTCTTTTCTTTTTTTTTGGTATTGGAGATTGAACTCAGGAACCCTTACTTAACCATTGAACCACATCCCCAGCCCCTTTTATTTCATTTTATTTATTTATTTATTTATTTTTTAGTTTTCAGCAGTCACAACATCTTTTTTTTTTGTATGTGGTGCTGAGGATCGAACTCGGGCCGCACGCATGCCAGGCGAGCGCGCTACCGCTTGAGCCACGTCCGCAGCCCCCCTTTTTATTTTTTACTTTGAGGCAGCATCTTGCTAAACTGCCTTGGGCCTCACTAAATTGCTGAGATGGCTTTAAACTTCCGATCCCCCTGCTTCAGCCTCCAGAGATGCTAGACTTACAGGCTTGTGCCACCGCACTCCACTTTTTTTTTTTTAATGTATTTTTTTAGTTGTAGAAAACACAATATCTTTATTTTATTTATTTTTATGTGGTGCTAAGGATCGAACCCACTGCCTCATGAGTGCGAGGCAAGCACTCTACCATTGAGCCACAACTCTGGCCCCTCAGCTTAACTTTAACTCATGAAGACATTCTCTTTGTAAAACATGGAAGCATACAGAGAATATGAAGTTGCCCTCTACCCTAGAGTCAATCATGGCCACCCTCAATTTGGAGTCTATCCTTACACATCTTTTTCTGAGCTTTCTATATGCCTACATCAAGCTGGGGAAGGTAGTATGGTACTATTCTGCAAGATTCTTTTATCCTTTTTTCTTTTTTTTCAAACACAAATAAGGCTGTACTTCAAAGTCATTCTGCAGTTGGTTTTTCAGTCAATATCTTTCTATGTCAGCATATATTTCTATCTTATTCTGTCTTTGGTTGCAGAGTATTCCACAGTGTGGAAACACTGTGGGTTTTTAACCCAGAATCCTTCTGATGGTTGTTTATACCTGGTGTCATTTCTATCCTTTTCTTTTTTCTTCTTTTTAAAGATTTTTAGGGGGGCTAGGGATGTGGCTCAAGCGGTTGCGTGTTCGCCTGGCATGCGTGCGGCCCGGGTTCGATCCTCAGCACCACATACAAACAAAGATGTTGTGTCCGTCGATAACTAATAAATAAATATTTTAAAAAGTTCTCTCTCTCTCTCTCTCTCTCCCTCTCTCTCTCTCTCTTAAAAAAATAAATTAAAAAAAAAGATTTTTAGGTATAGGTAAACAAATACATTTATTTATTTATTTATATGTGGTGCTGAGGATTGAATCCAGTGCCTCACACATGCTAGGCAAGTACTATATCACTGAGCTACAACCACAGCCCCACTATCTATTTTTCCTTTTTGTCCAGACACTAAATAAATAGGTTTCTGTGTATGTGTGCGTGTGTGTGTGTGTGTGTGTGTTTCATATACGCAGTGTAAAAAATCTCTTGTACATAAACCTAAGGGATGGTCTCTGGAGAGTTAAGAACAACCCTGTGTTATTACAAGAAGAGCACAGGAATCACCTGGCTCTTCCAGGATGCCCAGGGGACTCTTGGGGACACTGATGTGTACCATGCTGTGACTCACCACACAGGATGCGCTGGTTGTCACACTGCCAGGAGTAGCGCTCCAACTTGGGACTGCAGCCAGCCTCCTCTGCGCGAGTGTAGCAGCAGTCATGGTGGTAGCAGCACCTGCAGGTGTCACACAGACAGGCCAGCAGGTGGGTGCCTGCAGGGAACTCTCTTGCAACCTCCCTTGCTGGGGCTACGGGTGAGTGCAGACCCCTACGGAGACAGTGCCTTCCGGTGGAAGCTTTATCCCTGGTAAGCTCAATGCTAGGGAAAAATCCCACTGGTTCCATGAGCCCTGCACAGCCTCCATCCCTGGCCATCCCCAGGCAGCCTCCTTGCCTTGCTCTGAGCCTCTGTGCTCCAGCCATCCCAGCCTCCTTTCTGTCCCTCCAGCAAGCCAAGCCCCTTTTTATCCCCACTCTGTCCATGTGGCACCCTCTGCCTGGGCACCTCCCCTTGGGATGTCATGGCCTCCTCCTGTCTCCCCAAGCCATACTGTCTCCTGTCACACCCTTTCATAAAACCCAGGATCCCTCCCTTCCGGGCAGGTATGTAAAGAAACCCTCATTATAAACCTCGTTAACATCCGTCTTTCTGGGATGACCAAAGTTCTGTGAGGACGGCACCTCTGTCCCAGGCCCTCCCGGCCTCGATGAACATTCACTGTTGAACAGTGACCCCGGGAACACCCACAAATGCCGTCAGACCTGTCATTCATTCACCTACCCACTCATTCATCCACTGGTATTCTCTGCACTTGTCTGAGCCCTCAAGGGTCTGGCCCAGGAGGTCAGCCAGTCCCTGCTCTGCTCTTAGGAAGCCCCCAGTCCAGGGAGGGAGACAGATAAGCCACCAGACACAGGAAGGGGAACACGTTAAACAGAGGGACACTGAGAGTCCAGAGGAGATGGCAGACCCAGGGAGGCTCCAGAGAAGGTTCCCTGGAGACACTGTGGCTGAGCTGCCTCTGAAGGACACGCAGGAACCAGCCAGCCAGAGTCGGGGAGGTCACTGCCGGTGGCTGGAGCATCTGTGGCTCAAGGGTTAGTCAAGACCTCTCAGGGACAACCAGGACCTCCAACTAGGAAAGAGGCAGCTGAACTTGGCACAGTGTACCTACTAGCTTCCTGAAAGGGAAGGGTTAGTAGTTGCACCCCTTGGAGCCTCAGGGCCTTCATCTGTAAAATGGGGACAAGCACCATGACTGTCTCCAAGCGGGGCCATGAGAGTAAATGAGGAAGTCACAGGAAGAGCTCAGCCTTCCAGGAGCAGACCCTTCTCACACGGTTGCAGAGGGCAGGGGTTGGGGCGTGAATGCAGTCAGACTGCCCGAGTTCAAATACCAGGTCCCACGCCTTACTCTATGCAGCCCAGACAGGTAACTTAACCTTTAAGCGCCTCGGTCTCCTTGTCCATGAAATGGGGTTGATGTGAGGATTCAAAGGGATGCTCAGAGCAGTTCTGGTGTGTTATAAGCCTGGTTCTAGTTATATTACCTTCTAGGCAGCACAGTTAGCCCATGGTCAGGGTAAGAGGCAGCTGTCACCAAGATGTGTCCTCTCTGGCCACATAACCCAGGAGGCAGCACCACATGCTGGGATCTTCTTGCACGAACCCCCAACTTCAGCTTTGGGTACTTCCTCGTGGGCCTCAGGGGGCAGGAGCAACTTCTAGCCTGGACCCAAATGTACACTCACCAGTCGATGGCATCCTGGGGCTGGCCGTGGCCACCCAGGCCACAGTAGCAGCCGTAGTTCATGTAGGCCATGGGGGTTCGGGTGCCGACACAGTTCAAAGTCCCTGCCAGTTCCAGGATCCCACGCCGGTGCACATGTGACCTCTTAGATGCTGAGCCGTAAACAAAGGTCAGAGGCTTCAGGTCAGGACTTCCCTGGCCCTAGGGAGGGACATTAGACTGCGAAGGGCCTGGATGTTGCAGCCTGTCTGGGTTCAAATCCTGTTTCCTACCTGTGTGACCTTGGACAAATTAGGTACCGCTGTGTACCTTGGTTTCCTGATTTGGGAAATGGAGGAAAACGTAAGGTCCCCTAGCAGAATAAAATGAGACGAAGCGTGCAGCCTCTAACGCCTACAGTCAACACCCTCCAGGCAGCTATGAAAGGAAAATGAGTCGCAGACTACACCAAGTAAAAGGTGATGCCATGGGCCTTGGTGCTGGCTGGTCCCCCTTCCTGGAACACTCTGATTCCTGACCCCCTGCCCCTGTCAACTCTAGACACAGTCTCTTTGCAATTTCTGCGGTAAATGCTAGTTCAGCTGCTTGTGTGGGGCACTGAGCATCAGAGATGGCGTCACCAAGTGCTCCTGTCACCGAGGAGCACTCCTCTGGGGGCTTACCAGTCCCTGGGCTCCACAGTTCTCACCCAGACTCTGGCTCAGGGCCTTTGGATCTCCTTATGTTCACTGCCTGGGAGCAGCGTTCTCCTAGTTTGGGAGGCTCCCCTGACATGGGCCTGGCCATTTGTCTGGATCCTGGCACAGTCCTGACACATAACAGTACCCATTCGCTGTGATGGAACCCTTGCAGTTGACAACTGAGAAAGAAGAGGTCATCTGGGAAAGGTGGCCCTCACACTCACACAGTCCATAGCCCCTGAGCTGAGGCTCTGACCCAAGCTTCTGACCCATGAACCAGTGTTCCTTCCTCCTGGTCCAGAAACGCCAGTGACAGGGCTGAGGGACAGCAGCAGCGGAGCAGAAACTCATGCCCGGGCTTGTGTCCTGGGCATCTGCTCCCCAACACACCAGGCCTGAGGTCAATGCAGGTGAAAGCCTAGCATGTAGACATCACCTTTCTCTTAATTAGGACCTGTCTCTCTACAATGGCTCTTTGGAGGAGTCCAGGCCAAATCCAAATGACGCTGTATTGTTCACAGTGGGAAAAAAGTAGCATATTAGTGGTGGTGGGGGCCAGAGCTCCCTTTGTGTCAAAAAAGAGGAAAAGGCAAAAAATGAGTTTAGAGTTCAAAAGTTTACCTGTCCTCACTCCCAGCAACCTACACAGCTGCCTCAAACCTTCCATGGCTCCTACGGGCTCTGGATAAAGCTCAGGGGCCCCACTGCACCCCAAGGCCCAGTGGGGGGTCAAGTCCTCCCACTCCTCCAGGGCCCCCTCTCCTGCACCAGGAATCCTGTGCTCTCTCCAGTCATACCCAGCACATCCACACTCTGCTGCAAATGCTCTTACCAACCTCACCAGGCTCACAGACCACCTCCCTCCACAACTAACTCACCCCCCCAGGTGGCCCCAGGGACCCTTGTTGGACTGAGCTGCTGTCTGCTTAAGAGGATGACCCTCCAACCTGGGTGATATTACAGAGCAAATCTCTGACAGGCAGCTCTGAATGCCCTGGCACTTGATAGGCTTCCAGAAAAGGTCCCTTGACCTCTGGATCCGCTAAGCTCCCTGGAACACATCCACCCTAAGCACCCCCAGACAAGGTCCCAGCCTCAGAACCATATTTTGAAGCTTTCTGCAGAGTTCCCACCACCGACACCACCATCTGACCACTCTCTGGCATCCTGAGGTCTAGGAACAGACCTAAGAAGGGCTCAGGCATGGGGCGGGTTTGAAACCGAAGAAAACACTCCCTTTGTGCCAACATAGGTGGGGCAGGTCAGGCTGGGGTCTGTTTGCTCTGTCTGCCTGCGGGCAGCCTCCTTTGGGAGTGCTTGGGCTGGCAGGGTATCCTGTGAGCCCCGGGTCCATGCATCTGTACTTCGCAGTGTGTCCAGGGTTCATGTGAGTTTTCCCTGGGGCTGTCTCAGGGGTCGCTGGGTTGTGCATGCAGCTACTCCTCTCCAAGCATTTTGCTGAATCTGCAGCCTGGGTCTGAGGAGTTGTGCACCCCAGTGCCCAGGTGAGGGGGGTGCTGTTCCTGTGTGGCTGTCTTAGGGTGCCTGTATGTTCCCTAAGTGTGCTGCTCAACTGTGGGCTCCAGAAATGGGCAGCCACCAAGAGGACCTCTCTGAGGGTGACCCCAGGGATAGATGAGAAGGAGACTATACGTTCTTCACCCACCAGCAAGCCCAGCCCCTCTGCCCCTGCTCGCCACCCCCATGAGGTCTGAGATCCAACCTCGGACCCGCAGACAGAGTGATGGTCGCCTCACAAGAATGGGGATCAGGACGGCAGGGGTAGGGGCTTTGAGTGGCTCTGGAGGCTATTTGAGGGGAGGACTCTAAACCTCTGGGGAAGGTCAGGGCTGGTTCTGAGTCCTTAGGTAGAGTGTGCTATGTGGGAGGCCCTGGACAGAAGTAGGAGACAGGGTTACTGCGTCCCTAGGATGGATGAGTGGGTGGATATCAGAAGAGAGGGCTGGGGGTTGTGCAGCTCCTGGGGACCTGGGGCAGGCTGGTGAGTTGGAGTCCCTGTGGAGGAGTTGGGATGCGGAGCTCCTAAGTCCCTAGGGAGGGCTGGAGGAGGTCGGGTCATCACTTACCCAAGCTGGGTCCGAGGCCAGGTCCCAGCAGCAGCAGCAGCAGCAAGAGTAGCAGCATTATTGGGGGGCACGGAGGTAGCAGACCCATGGGAGGGTGACAGGTGTGGGCCAGTCTGGCGGGCAGTGCAGTCTTCAAGCCTGGCCGACCCCCACCTCTGGCCCCGCCCCCGGCCTCACCTTCCCGCGGTCTGGGCGGAGCCAGGCAGGGGCGGGTACCAGGGACTGCGCGGAGCCTCCGTCCGGACCTCTGCGTGTAGGTCCCCCAGTGGGCTGGGAGGCCAATCAGGTTCCTGGGGCCAGGAGGGAGAGTCTTGCTCCCGAGTACCAAGAATTAAATAACATTCGTTGATATTATTACCTGAAGCGCCTCTGCGCTGCTCACCTGGGCTTCCAAAAGGAGTAGAGGCTCGGGGGAGAGGATAGCACTGAATTCATCTCACCATTTTAAGATACAGGACCCTTTGCGCTCCTGTTACCTCTCAAAATCAACACTCTACAGTGTCCCTGCTACTGCTGCCACCATAGTGCAGGAACAGGTGACCAAAGTTTTGCCCAAGGTCACACAGTGCCTTCTGGTAAAAGACTGGACTGAGATGGGGGAGGGCAGGAAGACCACAACCACATCTTCCCACACCCTCGTGCCTCCCGTTTCTCTTCTGTCCAAGGGTCATGCCGCTTCCTCCAAGAGGCCGCATGAGCCAAGAAAAGCGTACACAATAGGTGCCCGATACAGAAAAGAAGCGACTATTGTGTGCGGTATCTGTTGCTTTTTGACTCTGATGCTCTAGCTAGCACTACCCAATTTGTCACCAATTTCTGTTGCTTTTACCTGATAAGTAAACTGCCAATGGAACCCTGCATACCACCTTCTATCTCCATGGCCAGACTCTAGGAACAATGATGCAGTAGGTAAAACTGCCACTCTCTGGCTATTTCAACACCGGCAGCACAGATGGGTGACCTTAACACAACCTGAGTCCCCTTTCACCGGAAAGCACTAAGGATCAGAGAAGCCAAGTGAAGTACAGGAACCCAGACTCGACCTCATTTTTACATGGTGCCAAACCTCTCTGCCTCCTTCTATGAAAATCCAAGCTTTGATTCCTAGCCTGCCACCTGGAGGAACACTTTCCCCACTGGAGTGTGAGCTCTTTGGGCAAAATCCAGGTTTCCTTCATCTTGTGTGTTCAGCCCTTCTCTGCCTGGCTCATGGTAGGTGCTCAGTAAAGGCTTTCCCATATACAATATGGGTTTCAGATGGCCCAGGACTTGGGGTTGGAGAGAACTTGAGTGACAAACCTCAGTGTGCTACAATCATCAGGAAATGAGCCAAGATTCCTATACTTTGGCACTCAGCCCCCCTGCTCAGGGTGGACCCCTGCAGACAACTAAGTGCCTTAAAACTGAAGTGGAGGGACAGGATGAGAAATCAGTTAACATGAAGAAGAGAAAGGTAATCCTGAAACCTACCTCACTTCCTCATTCATTCATTCATTCATTCGCTTAGTCCCCAGCAGGGACTGACCCCTATACTGTGAAGGAGCACAGGGAGATCAGACCAATTCCCACATCCAGAAGATCTCTGTGGGCTGAAGGCACACCTATGAAAACACCAAGGGACCAGAAGATGTGACTAAGCAGCCATAGAGGGCAGCACAGGGCTGTGGGCCTCTTCGTCTCAGTCTGGGTGTCCCCTGATACCCCTGAAAGCAGGATTCTGGACCAGTGGATTATTTGGAAAGTGTATCCATGGAGCAGAGGGACTTGGAAAAGTGAAGAGATAAAAGCTGGAACATGGGTGGGTTCTAGAGGTGACCACAAGAAGGGTCACTAAAGTTTAGTCTCAAAAGGATCTCTTAGGGGTTCATCTGTTGCATCTCAATTGTCTGCCAAAAGGGATAAATGGGAGAAGCATTTCCTGCCCTCCCCCCACCACCACTCCTTTCTCCTATTGGTTGAGGGCAGCCCCCAGGGGGAGTGGGGGCAGGAAGCCAGAGGTTCCTGAATCTGGTCAAAGACCACACGGACTGTTTGCAAGAGTCCTGCCTGGAATCTGAGCTGAGGGGAGAGGATGTGAGGTGGAGGTGAGCCATTGTCCGGCCCCTCTCCCAGCCGGGTTAGCAGTGGCACTAGAGTCAAAGAAAACTCTCCAGCCAGATGTCTGAGCAAAACCTTCCAGAGGGGATGGAAAATTATGAGAAAATAAGAGAAAGCACCATAGGGAGAGGAACCTGCCCCGCTGGGTGCACGTGGAGATTCCTCGAATGCGGGGAGGGGCGGAGGCAGGGGAAGAGGGTGCAGGCCTCCACCTGGTGGACAGTCTGGGCACCAAGATCAGCCAGGAAATGAATGGAAGGAATATTTGTAGGAGTGGAAGGAGAGGGAGAGTGTGAGAGGGGGAGGATTGGTTAGGAAGAAAGTTCACACCGTAAAGCAGGTCTGACACCCGTTTGGACCATAGCCTGTTGACTATCTTTGAGGGTCCTCTTCCCATGACAGATTTATTTTGGTGAGATCTCATGTTTTCCTGAGCACATTTTGTCTTCTACGACATTCTGTGGACCCTGATGAACGTCAGTGTGTGCTTGCATCTGTGTATATGTGTGTGTACACATGATGAAACAGCAGACACTTTTTCATAACCATCTTCTTTCTGTATCTGGTGGAGGCTGGATTTTAATAGAACAGAGTCCTCTTTTTTTAGAACAGTCTTTTGAGATGAAGATCACAAATCTTTTGGCCCAAGCTATGCATAATCTTAGTTTAATTTAATCAACTTCAATGAACATCTTGTGTTTGTTTGTTGTTTTTGCAAGGCTTTTTGTTTTTTGTTGTTTTGGGGGGTACTGGAGATTGAGTACAGGGGTGCTTAACCACTGAGCCACATCCTCAGCCCTTTTTATTTATTTTTTATTTACAGACAGGGTCTCCCTGAGTTGCTTAAGGCCTCGTTAAGTTGCTGAGGCTGGCCTCGAACTTGAAATCCTCCTGCCTCAGCCTCTCCAGCCACTGGAATTATAGGCATGTGCCACTGCACCCAGCTCAATGAACATCTTTTGATGATCAGTGTGAAAACATTTTCATTTTAGAGTGAGAAGGGCGAGTGCGCAGTGTGTATCAGACATGCATCTGTCAGTCTCTTCATCCTCATGATATCCTCACACAGAACAGATCTGAGGCCCAGAGGTGGCCCCACAGGGACTTGCTGTCAGAGCTGGGGCTACAGGGACCAAGGGAAGCATGAGCAGGTGGCTGGTGAGTACAGAATGCTGGGAGGTGCGGGAGGCGCCCAGCTGGGCAGCTCACCTGCAGCCTCAACCCCTCTCTGGAGTCCACCTCACTCTCTGAGTCTCCTTGGGGCGTCAGAAACTCAGGCAGACAAAGTCTCCTGACAGGAGCCACATCACATTCCTGAGCTGGGAAAAGACAAGCCTGGAGAATCCTGGGGGAGATTTGCCTTTTTGCACATTAATCACACAGTAAAGATATCACATTTAGATATTTAGTGTGTTTATTTTTATTTTTTTAGTCATAGGTGGACACAATACCTTTATTTATTTATTTACTTGTTTACCCTGTGCTGAGGATCAAACCCAGTGCCTCACATGTGCTAGGCGAGTGCTCTACCATAGAGCTACAATCCTAGCCTCACAAATTTACTTTTTATAGTGTGAATTTTTGGTGTGAAAACCAAAAACTCAATAACGAAGGTCAATGTCAAGGAGGTCTCTCCCATGTTCTCTTGTAGGTATTTTATGCTTCAGATGTTACACTTCAGGCTCTTGTCCTTTTTGGTTTGGTTATTGTGGATGGTGTAAGACAAGGGTTCACTTTCCTTCCTTCCTTGTGGAAATACAGTTTCTCAGTGGCATTTATTTAAGAGACTGTCTATTCCCCATTGTGTCCTCTTGGTGCCCTGTGGAAAACTAGTTGACCATCCAGGTTCATAAATGAGAATAATTCAGCCGGCCATGGTGGCACATGCCTGTAATCCCCAGCAGCTCAGAAAGCTGAGGTAGGAGGATCACAAGTTCAGACCCAACCTCAGCAATTCATTGACACCCTAAGCAACTTGGCTGAGACCTGTGTCTAAACAAAATTTTTAAAAGGGATGGGGATGTGATATGGTCCCTGGGTTCAATCCCCAGTTTGAAAAAAAAAATGGCGATCTGAAAAAGCCAATACATCAAAAACCATATGTTTAGCAAATCTAGGGGCCATCATGTCACTCTGTGAGGCACTGAAGAAGGATGCTACACATGTCCCGCAGAACCAAGGTTACCTGGAATCTGCAGGTGGACTTGACTTGCTTCTGCAGATTATCCATTTCTTCATTTCCCCCCATGATTTAGACTTGCTTTCATCCGACAAGGCACCAACTTGACACAATTTTATTTATTTATTTATTTTTATTATATATCATGTTTTTAATACAAACTTTAAAAAATCTGGAACAATATAAACCGTACAGAGTTGATCAATCTTGTTTTTAAACTAAATCTCTAACACACCAATGTCCCATTCCAAAATATGGCACAACATTCTGAATACAAAACATTTGACTGTATTCCTCCTTCACTAAAGAAAAAAAAAGTCATTACCCTGCTCCCCTGGCTCCTCTCCAGTTGCTCCAATGCCCCCTCCCACTCTTAGGGAGGTAATTTGAGAATCTATAGCTCCCTGCATTGAGAAAAAGACATCATTCTGGATTGACAGTTTACATTCTTCACAAGATAATCCATCTTTTGATTTGTTCCTGGGAAAGAGGGATAGATAGAGAGAGGATGGGGAAAGGGGAGAAAAAGGTTTATTCTCCTCTTTTTTATTTTAAAGTTTGTTTTTCCTGAAAAAAATCAATTTCTCTCCTCTTTTTAAGAAAAAACCTTGAAAATAAAATTACAATTCTGATGTTAAAAATATACTTATATTATACATACCTCTTACATTTTACAAATGTAGCAAATTATTCAATACAAACGGACACCAAAAAATGTAAAAAATAAAAAATTCCTACGAAAACCAGGTAAATTAGTGCAGATTTTTGTTTGTTTTCTTAAAAAAAAAATAAATTTGAAGCAAAAATGCCTA